TATCTGACCACACTCATCCTCATGTCGATAGGAAATCACACAAACGGCTAATGGGAAGTCAGCAAGCATCGAAACTCCTTGAGGACTCAACTCCTGCCTTTCTGCAGAAGGGAGGAAGGGTCCGAACAGCTGGGTCCCCGGCTGTTTTCACCTTGCAGCCACAGCCCGAGCGACCCCGTAATAGCACTTCGGATGGGGAGTGTTTGCAGCTCCGAGGGGCTGCTTTTCAGTGTTTTTTTTATTATTATTATTATTATTCTTATTTTTACGGCAGGCTGATCTTCTTTTCCCCCAAATTCAGTATTTATCAGCCGTGCCGTTCCCCCACTAAAAAAATAAAATAAAATAAACGAGTTCCCCCTTAATAAAAATGCCATCGGTCCGTTGAAGCAATTCCTAAACGAAAACAGCAATCGTCTTCAAGTAACCGACAGGATCAAGTATTTCTCCATTTTTTTTTTTCTTTCGGTCAGTCCTCAAAGAGTTTAATATTTTATTATTTTTTTTAAAAAAAGACACAAAACAGAACCTAAGCACGTGTGCTAAATATTCTTCGCTAAGTTTCAGAGTCCTTTCACCAAATGGTTTTCTCCCTTCAAAAGAGGGCGTCAGACCTAAGGACCATGGCGTCATCCACGTGTCCAATTCGGGCGGCGTTATCCATGGCGCCGTAGGAAGGCACTGGTATGTCTTGAACAGGATCCTCTTAATCACAGTTTCAGCACAGTATTTTGGCTATTTAATTCCTCCCCCCCCTTTAGGAAAAAAAAAATCACAGTTACGGATCAACGAAGTTGAGGTAATGAAACAAAAAGGCCCATACCAAAATAGAGAATGTCCAAGTAGTACCAAAATGGTGAAAGGTCTTGAAGCTAGAACATGGTCATATATTTTTAAAAAGTTTTTCCCACTTCGCATGCAGTACAGAATACACCCTTCTCTACCGTGCCTCCGCTTTTCAGCTTCGGGCAAACCGCTGTCCCGGCCGCATGAGACTCGCGACGGGGGGGGGCGGCGGGGGGCTTGCGTGGCGCCCCCGCGCCGG